GGCGGCGGCAGCAGCGGCGGCGGCGGCAGCGGCGGCGGCGGCAGCGGCGGCGGCGGCGGCAGGCAGTGTAGGCGGCGCAGGCGTGGGCTGGGCAGGGGCAGCAGCAACAGGGGCGGCAACGACTTCAGCTGAGGGCGGCGGGAGGGGAGCCGCTCGCCACCAGCGAGAGGTCGCAGCCCGCCCCACCTGGCGCGCTGGGGGCTCCTCCGCGCGCTGCTGGCGCAGCTCATGGAGGTATTGTAGCTCCCCAGGTGGGCGCCAGAGGTCAATGCTGACCTCTGGTGCTGCCCACGAAAGGCGGCGGCGGGCACCCATCAGGGCGCCGCACAGGGCAGGAGTCAGTCGCAGGTGGCATTCGCTGCGCCCGTCCCCACGCACCCGAATCTCAACGCAGGTCACAGGCACACAGTCAGGCACTGGCAGGTGAAGGCTGGCCCGGCAAAACAAAACGAAGGCTGCGACTGCGGCCCCCAGGCCCCCACCGGCCTCCAGAGCGAGCCCCTTGACCACGATATGGGGGAAATCGGGCCGCAGGGATGCCCGGGAGGCCGGGTTGCTGATCGGCTGCTGGCTGCGCTGCCCAAGGCTGGCTCCCTCGCTGCTTGACATGCTGATGGGTGGGTGGGTGAGTGTGGAGGGTGGGGGTGTGGGGGTGATCGGCGCGAGGCCGGCGCGATGGCTCTCTGTGAGCGGACGGGTGGGCTACTGTTGGCTATAATAGGCTATAATAGGCTATAATAGGCTATGTATGGTGCAGGAGTGCGTGCTGCAGATGTCGCCAGATGCAGCGGGACGGTACTGCCAGGCCGACCCGCTCTGCAAGGCCTTCATCATGAAGATGGGTGGGTGCCCTGTTGCCGGCTGTGCGCTAGCCTCTGCGTTCCACCTCACAAGGAACCCCGTTCAGTCCCAATGCAGATGGAATTTTTGGCGCGGGGCACAGCCTGGCCATTTTCAAGCGGGACGCCAATGCCTCGGCCATCCTGTTCAACCCCACAGGCAAGTTCCAATGTGCATGATGGGCATGATTTGTTTACTTGCCTGTGACACAAAGGAGAGAGGCAAGAATTGGGCTCCGGCTCCGGCTCCAGTCGCTGAGCCTCTGTGCACCTCTATGCAAGCTGCTGCCAGCAAATGCGCTCATCTATCAACCTCCACAGGCTTGCTGTACCTTAGAGATGTCACAGATCAAGCGCCGCCAGCTGACGGCGGCGGCACCGACTTGTCGGGTGGGGCGATAGCAGGCATAGCGGTGGGCTCATCTGTTGGGGCGCTGGCGCTGGCTGCGCCAGCCGCCATAGCGGTGGTGCGACGGCGCAGGTGCAGGCGCCTGCGGCAGCTCAAGCTGGCAGGAGGACCACAGCAGCTGCAGCTGCTGCAGCGCAGGACGCTCGTGCCGAATGGCAGCAGCAGTGGGCTTACCCCGGCGACAGCTAGCACGGGCATGACAGGAAATGCCACATCAAAAAAGGTCAGCAGCAGTGACGCAGGCAGCCGCAACCAGGCTGCTCACGCGGCAGCGCCGGCGGCGCCGGAGGCGGCATCTGGCCTGCTCCCGGCTGCCTCTGCTGGGCTGGCACCAAGTGAGGGAAATGGGGCAGTCGTCCCAGAGCTAGTCCAGCTGATTGCCTCACACGATGCCGCGGCAGCCCACAGCGGGCAAGCACCACCCGGCGTCGGCGCGTCCCCAGAGCAGGCTGCCTGGCTGGCCTCGCTGCCCCCCGACCTACAGAAGTTTGTGGTCGATCCCGCCAGCTTCACCTACTGCCGCCTGCCTGGCAGCGAGGGGCCCGTTGAGCTGGGATCCGGCGCCAGGTGGGCTGCTGGGAGGGCAGCACATTTGCTTGTCCTGCGCTGCTCTGAACCTTCCTTTGCAGTTTGCCGATGCCCCCTGAGAGCACCCTTTCCACCCTCTTCTAACCGCCTGCCCCAGCTCTGCCTGCTCTCTTCCCCCCGCAGCGGGCGTGTGCTCAAGGCGGTGTATCGCGGCGAGGCTGTGGCGGCCAAGGAAGTGGATGTGGGGGGCGGCGCCGCCAACCGCGAGGCCTTTGTGACGGTGAGGTGGCCATGAGGCACCATGCTGTGCTGTGCTGCTCCAGCCCGTGGCCTGTCGCTCCCCTGCTGCTTCATATGGCACATCTCTTCGCCGCTTGCCTGGGAAACCGCAGGAAGCGGTGCGGCTGCACCAGCTGCGCCATCCGGCGGTGGTGGGGTTTGTGGGTGTGGCGCTGAGCGGCAGCCGGGGCATCCTGCTGCTGGAGATGTGTGAGGGGCGGGACCTGTACAGGCAAGCGCCAAGTCACAGCAGCTGTGCAGGGGTGGAGGTTAGGGGAGACGGGGAGGCACTCTGCAGGCGGGGTGCAGGACTGCCCAATCCATCTCAGCCCTCCTCCCCAGCCTGACTGCAGCTGCTTCAACCATCTGCGTGCTTGCAGTGCGCTCAACCTGCGGGCGGCGGGCGGCTCAGGGCAGCGCGTGTTTGGCTGGCACCGGCGGGGCAAGCGGGCGGCATTTGACCTGGCCCGAGCCCTCAACTACCTGCACAGCCAGGTGGGGCAAGGCATTGGTATGCCCGCTGCTGCTCCTCTTGAAGCCCTGCACCACCTTGATCCGTTCACACTCCCGGCTCTGCCCTCCCTCCTGCCTGCAGGGCGTGGTGCACTTGGACGTAAAGTCGAGCAATGCAAGTCCCTTGCCAGCTGCTTGCTGCCAGAACGCGCCTGCTTGATCCACCGCGCCTGCTGCGTGAAGCATACTGCCTGCTCTGGCTACCTCCATGAGTGTCCCCCTTGATCGCCCTGCCTGGCCTGCAGGTCCTGCTAACCTCCAGTGGCGCCGCCAAGCTTGGTGATGTGGGCCTGGCACGGCTGCAGACGCGCACCACGCTGTCAGACCTGCCGCTCATTGGCACCTACGCCTGGTGTGTGGCAGGGGTTGTGGGGAGTGGAGGAGAGGAGGGAGGCAGGCAGGAAGCGAGCCCACAAAGCTGTGGCATGGCAGGGAATCGCATGGGCCTTGGTGCGCTGACCTGGCTGCCTCGCCTGGCTGCTGGCCTGCCTGTGCTGCCGAGCAGGGTGGCCCCGGAGGTGCTCATGGGCGGCCAGAACTGCACCTCCGCGGTGGACATCTTCTCGTTTGGAGGTGCGGCTCCCTGCAATGGCGCTGTCTGCAGCAGGGGGCTGCCGCCGGTGCTGCTGCGCTGCCGCTGGTGCCTCCCCCAGCTGAGATGCTTGTGGCTTTTTCTGCCGCAGTGGTGCTTTGGGAGATTGTGACGGGGGAGCGGCCGCGGCGTGGCAGCCTGCGTCCACCGGCGGTGCCCCGGGAGTGCCCAGCAGAGGTGGCAGATCTCATCCGCCGCTGCACCAGCCCCGACCCCGCAGCGCGCCCCACAGCCCAGCAGGCCATGGAGCAGCTGGGGGCGATGCTGCGGCGCAGCAGTGGCAGCTTGGAGTGGCAGCCGGCTAGAGCAGTGGCTGAGTGCGCGAGTCGTGACCCAGAAATGAAAAAGTGTGAACCAAAGTGACGCATGAATCATCCACAAGACTTGGTGCCTTTGAATGCTGACAACTGACCCCTAAAACCCTCTTCAGCGAGAGAGGCTCGGGTTGTAAGTGGCCGGCGCCTGACTTGGAGTGCACGTCAGTGGCCTGTGCAGCATGGCAACGATCTGCAGGAGGCTGGGCGGTGCAAGGCTGACTATAAGCTTTAAGCTATGTAGGGCGCCATGTGCCACGCAGTGGGACGGCAGCATGTCAGAAGTTTCGCTTGACCGTCGCTGTTTGTATCGAGTTAGTTGAGGGCTCGGGCCAGGTCAAATGCCGCCCGCTTGCCCCGCCGGTGCCAGCCAAACACGCGCTGCCCTGAGCCGCCCGCCGCCCGCAGGTTGAGCGCACTGCAAGCACGCAGATGGTTGAAGCAGCTGCAGTCAGGCTGGGGAGGAGGGCTGAGATGGATTGGGCAGTCCTGCACCCCGCCTGCAGAGTGCCTCCCCGTCTCCCCTAACCTCCACCCCTGCACAGCTGCTGTGACTTGGCGCTTGCCTGTACAGGTCCCGCCCCTCACACATCTCCAGCAGCAGGATGCCCCGGCTGCCGCTCAGCGCCACACCCACAAACCCCACCACCGCCGGATGGCGCAGCTGGTGCAGCCGCACCGCTTCCTGCGGTTTCCCAGGCAAGCGGCGAAGAGATGTGCCATATGAAGCAGCAGGGGAGCGACAGGCCACGGGCTGGAGCAGCACAGCACAGCATGGTGCCTCATGGCCACCTCACCGTCACAAAGGCCTCGCGGTTGGCGGCGCCGCCCCCCACATCCACTTCCTTGGCCGCCACAGCCTCGCCGCGATACACCGCCTTGAGCACACGCCCGCTGCGGGGGGAAGAGAGCAGGCAGAGCTGGGGCAGGCGGTTAGAAGAGGGTGGAAAGGGTGCTCTCAGGGGGCATCGGCAAACTGCAAAGGAAGGTTCAGAGCAGCGCAGGACAAGCAAATGTGCTGCCCTCCCAGCAGCCCACCTGGCGCCGGATCCCAGCTCAACGGGCCCCTCGCTGCCAGGCAGGCGGCAGTAGGTGAAGCTGGCGGGATCGACCACAAACTTCTGTAGGTCGGGGGGCAGCGAGGCCAGCCAGGCAGCCTGCTCTGGGGACGCGCCGACGCCGGGTGGTGCTTGCCCGCTGTGGGCTGCCGCGGCATCGTGTGAGGCAATCAGCTGGACTAGCTCTGGGACGACTGCCCCATTTCCCTCACTTGGTGCCAGCCCAGCAGAGGCAGCCGGGAGCAGGCCAGATGCCGCCTCCGGCGCCGCCGGCGCTGCCGCGTGAGCAGCCTGGTCGCGGCTGCCTGCGTCACTGCTGCTGACCTTTTTTGATGTGGCATTTCCTGTCATGCCCGTGCTAGCTGTCGCCGGGGTAAGCCCACTGCTGCTGCCATTCGGCACGAGCGTCCTGCGCTGCAGCAGCTGCAGCTGCTGTGGTCCTCCTGCCAGCTTGAGCTGCCGCAGGCGCCTGCACCTGCGCCGTCGCACCACCGCTATGGCGGCTGGCGCAGCCAGCGCCAGCGCCCCAACAGATGAGCCCACCGCTATGCCTGCTATCGCCCCACCCGACAAGTCGGTGCCGCCGCCGTCAGCTGGCGGCGCTTGATCTGTGACATCTCTAAGGTACAGCAAGCCTGTGGAGGTTGATAGATGAGCGCATTTGCTGGCAGCAGCTTGCATAGAGGTGCACAGAGGCTCAGCGACTGGAGCCGGAGCCGGAGCCCAATTCTTGCCTCTCTCCTTTGTGTCACAGGCAAGTAAACAAATCATGCCCATCATGCACACTGGAACTTGCCTGTGGGGTTGAACAGGATGGCCGAGGCATTGGCGTCCCGCTTGAAAATGGCCAGGCTGTGCCCCGTGCCAAAAATTCCATCTGCATTGGGACTGAACGGGGTTCCTTGTGAGGTGGAACGCAGAGGCTACGTGCCGGCTGGCAACAGGCGCCCACCCATCTTCATGTTGAAAGCCTTGCAGAGCGGGTCGGCCTGGCAGTACCGTCCCGCTGCATCTGGCGACATCTGCAGCACGCACTCCTGCACCTCGGGCCTGCAGATGCCAGCATGGCAGGGCAGCTTGCTGCGCATTAGAAGCAGCACGGCAGGCCACGGAGCATGGGCAGCCGCGGAAGATGAGCAGGCACACTGAGGAAAGCAGGGCCAGGTTTTCAGCCGCTTCCGCTGTGTGCTGCCTGGCCAGCTCACCTGAGGGATTCCGAGCAGTTGTAGCGCCCAAAGGAGAACAGGCCGCGGCCTGGCAGCAGCGTGTAGCCTGGAACCTGCAAAGCGCAGCCCCAGCAGCGCTCGGTGTGCCTGTGCCAGCCCTGGGTACTGGCGGCAGCAGGAGCGCCTACCACGATGCACCCACCTGTGGTGCTGAGGTGACGATGGGCCCTCCAGCTGAGAAGGGCACATTGGGGCCCTTTGCTATCAGGGCTGCAGGGAAGCCCAACATTGGCTGCACCAGCTCTTGGAAGCGCAGCTCGCAGCCGCCCTCAGGCAGCGCCAGCTCAGCGCCATCGTCTGTGGTGAACCGGCAGCCGTCTGGATTGGAGCAGTGGCTCCACACGTTGCACACACTGGGGGTGGCGTTGAGTGGACTGGGGCTGTTGCCGCCTGCGCGGCTGCCTGCGCTGCTGTTCCAGGCTCGGCAGGCGCGGCAGCAGGCCTCTGGCGTTTGCTGCTGCACTGTGGCCACCTGCACCAGAGGGAGCGCGAGGCTCGGCTCATCATCAACAGCAGCATGCAGCACTGCTTCCTTGGTCAGCATGCTGCAACACAATTGGTCAGGCATTGCCTCGCTGGACCACCTGCACGCCGTCCACGGCCGCGTTGCGTCCCACAAAGCAGCCCAGCCAGTTGCTACTGTTGGCTGCCTCTCCTTGGGTTGGCAGCATCACGGTGCCATCGTCCTTGTAAAGGTAAATGGCTGTCTGCGGGCAGGGTGAGAATGTCACCATAAAAGAGGCCAGGAGAGCTGCCATGTCTGGTGCATGCCCGCTGCTGTGTCCCGCTACAAGCGTGGACAGCTGGCAGGGTTGCGTTGCTTGCTTGTGCTTGTGTGGGCTTAAAGTCTGGTAAAGCAAGAACTAGCTTGCAACATAGACTCCCCGCCGAAACGGGACGGGAACCGGGCGAAAGCAGAGAAAGCAATAAAACAGGGGTGGAGCAAGGCGACATGCAACGCAAGCAGCTGACAGGGCACGCATCGAAACGTGTGTATGACTGGCAAAGTGGCATGGCGCATTGGGGAGAAACGCAACGGTACGGGAGCATGGGCTGGCCAAACGGCAGTGCGGAACGCTAGGTCACTAGAAAAGCAGGGAAAGGCGCACTATGTATGCAATGAGGGCAGCCCCGGCTCGGGGCCGTTGAGAAAGCAGTGGGCGGGAGGGGGGAGGCCCCGGTGTGGGCGGGCCCCATCGAGGGGGGATGGGGCGCGCAAGCGGCCAGATGGGGCGGGGCGCGGGCGGCAGTGGAGTCCTGCGGCTGGGTGGGATATAGGGCAATGAGCGTTGAGCAGTGTGCGATGAGCAATGAGCAATGAGCAGTGAGCAGCCCCTCCCTAAACAAAGTGAAGCGCAGGACGGGGTCCGGTGGATGGGAGGCAAGGAAACGCGGGGGGTTGCCACGTGCGCTACCGCCGCCGCCGCAGGCAGCACCCCTGCGGCGGCGGCAGCGGCAGCAAGCCGTGGACCCAAACGCC